AAATTTTAATCTTGGTGAGCCTAGTGTGACAATCTTTTCAGAACAGGGACCAAGAAGATTTCATAATACCAAAAGGCATTAACTAAGCAGGTTGGTGGTCTACTTTAAGATCAGCAGCGACAAAGTCCTAGTCAGAAGACTTCAAGACAGAAAAAGAAACATCTTTACATGAACAAGAAATAAATGATTAAAACAACATTAAAGGACAGCTTCTAATTTGCTTATTTTTAACTATAACACTATGTTGAGCTGACAGCTTCTGTAGCTTTATTGCAAAGTACAACAGGATGCTTTGCATGAAACACGCTGTGTAAGAGCAAGATGTTTTGTATTACTGACCTTCTTAAATGTATTATCTTTATAAATGTCATGCCATTATAGGAGGTGCAAGAATGCTCACCTTCAATTGTTGAATCAGTTTTATGTTCTTTATGTGTTGGACGAATTCCAGGTCTCCTTCAGTCCACTGATATCCTTGCATTCCTTTCACTAGCTTCTCTGGGTCCATTTCACTGAGGTTTGCTCCAAAGGAAACAAATCACAACCCACTTAGAAGAATATTTCTAAGTAGCCTGCAACTGTTTGCCAGGTTTTCTCTCTCTCTGTGTTTCAACAAACCAGTACTACTGGAGGCTAAGGATGTCCCATATTTCCCCAGACATCACTGGGACAACAGTCCATGACAGCACAGCACCCAATACGATTCAACATGAAACCTGATAAGTTCATTGTTCCTGTATATGATCAAACATGTTTTACATACAATATTGATGACTGTCAGTACAGTAGGCATTCTTATTAAAGTCATGACAACTGGATAGTTCAAATCTTTCTAGCAGTCAATACAGAAAGAGGAATGTCTCTAGAAAATAGTCATTCATTCAAAGCAGTGGATGGTAAAAGCATAACAAACTGCTTACCTCATAGCAAGAACAATTTTTAAAAACAACTAGCAAACAAAAAGTGGCCATCATAGGCCTATGACAAACCACTAGCATGTTAGCATTCTGTGGTTCATCTTGGATTAAGATACAAACTATGTTCTATATAATACTAAACAACAAAACATGCATATTCATGATTGTACATTTAGTACACTGTAAGGAACACAGGTTACCAATTATTTTACCACAAGTCCTTCAGCTCACCAAACACGCTTGGACCTCCAAGAATAGGACCATTTCCAGTATTTTCATCCTTAAGCCTTTTAATGGTTTTAATACATCACAAAGTAAAGTCGGTAGACAGTCACAGAATTTCATACAGAAAGTCAGTGTCAGTGCTCAAACTTGCAATAATAGTCATTTCTTAGTAGATATATCTCTTTCAAGGTACAAGTGCTTCATTACTCAAGACTTGACAAAAGGAAACCCCCCCCCAATTATAAACCAGGAGGCCACTCCTATTGGGGAGGAACATGCTACACATAAGTGGCTACTTTCTTGTTACCTGTAAGTGTAACAATAAGGCTTTCAGAAAGGTAAGAAAATGTAACAATTTTAATCATACTGACTCAAATTCCAAAGAGTTAATACCTCATGCTTATAAACCATCTAGTGTTAGTTAAAATGAATAAAAATGACCTTTAATACCATCATGCTTGTTAGGAGCTCCCTCATTTAGTATCACTGCAGACATAGTTACCTGTAAATGACTTGGTGCTTCTTCTCTGCAGAGCCTTTTCCCTTGTTTCATCATGCACTTCTAGATCCTTAGAGTCTGAAGGACACGTGTTGGGGTTGATGGCACCCTGAGCAGAGCACTCTGGCTTTCTGTTAGTTATGGCACCTGAATGTCTCAAATTCTTGAAGGAGGAAAAAAAAAAGATAAAAGGTCAGTCCTTTAAAAATTAAAATTGCCAACAATTAGAATATATATATAAACATTTTGATGTGGAGCTCATTTATTGGCTATTTGAGACATAACATAGCTCCATGAGAAAGAGCTGGGTGTTAAGTTGTCAGCTCACGACAGGGCATTGCGTCTGCTGTACTGCGATTTACCTTTTGCCTCCCTCCAGGAGACCTCCAATCCTGAGCACAAGACCCTCCAACATCCTGATTCTGGCTACTTGATTTTGTTCTGCGCTGTTGCTTCGGACTTCTAAGCTTTTCAGGAGACAAGACGGGTGTCTGCAAGACCCGCCTCTTATTCGCAGAAGGAGGAGTTCTAGGTAGCTGCTTCCCTGTCGGAATGGAGTTGAGAGGTTTCCTCGCTGGGCTGGAGGTTACACTACTGGCAACAGTGTCCTTAACTGCACCTCGGCTTGGTGTGGCTCTGCTGCATGAAACATCACCCAGCCGGGCCCGCGGTGAGCATTCTGCCCTTTGATTAATTACGGCTTCTGAATATGTGACACTCTAGAGAGGGGGGGAAAAAAACAACAAAAGCAAATTAATACAGAAGTCCGTGAGAGTGATATCCTTAAGAGCTCGGCTCCTGAAGTTTAACGTAACGCGCGCACTTTTCATTAACAAGCGCACTTGTCAGGTATGTGTCGTAGTCGTGCCACAGGCAAGAGAAAGCTGAGAACAAGATTCTGTCTACTGTGTAATAGGGGATTGTTTCGAAATTCAACTTCAAAACGTTCCCAAATATAAATATATTTTTACATCGCTTCAGCAAAATAATAATTGAAAAGGACCCATAATAAGGCTCTTTGAATGTGAATTATAATGTTGGCAAAGCAATAAGTATTAGCTAGACATGATCTCCACTGTGTTGTGACTTACCTGATCATGACCATTCCTCACTCCGGGGGACTTCCATTCAGGAGCAAAAGAACCTCCAACTGCCTGTTTTCCACATCTTGTTTTTGAGCTATGTAGCTGTTTAGCATTCCTTTGCTCTTTAGGAGACACAGCTAACGTCTGGGAACTTTGCCCTTTATTTGCAGAAGGAGGTGGTGTCCTGGAAAGCTGCCTTCCCATGGGAATTAAGTTCCGAGTTTTCCCTACGGGGCTCCCGGAAATGCTTGGGGTGGTGTTCTCACATGAAACCTGGTGACGCCTGTCTTTGAGTTTTCTTCTGTCCTTCACCCGCTCTCGTCTGCTGACCTCGAAAGGGTTTGCGTCCATGGTGCTTTGGCTGCAGTCTTGTAGCATCTTCACACAGTCCAAGAATGCATGTTTTTAAATACATGAAAACTGGTGGTAGAGAAAACATGCAAGATTCATTTGTCTGGGAAGGAACAACATTCCATTAAAGAAGATTAAGGTCAATTAATTACCAGCCACACTAAGCTACTTTGGACTTGTTTTACCAGTAATTATACTATAAACTTAATAATAACAAAAACTGTGATTAGTCTAATAATGTCAATGCTCATGTAGAAAACCACTAAGGCTTTGTAGCATTCTCTGGCCTGTGGTCCAGAAAACCTGGGCTTGATTAAGTGAGTTAAGAGTTTGAAACATGCATGAACAGTTTCAAATATATAGTGAAATGTAGCACTTCTATTGGTATGGATGTGTGTGACATCAAGGCAATTTTCTCATATACTTTATCTCACTTGGGAATAAAATATTTTGCATTCATTGTCATCTAGAGACAAAAAAATCACAATCGACAGAAGCAGAAAGTAAACATTTTAAGAACACGAAGCCTAAAACAAAGAGGATGCTGTTCGACGCATTTATCTCGTTTGGTTCTGAGTTGCTAATTGATGTGGGGGATCTAACCCAGCTATATCTTGAAAGTAGCCAGAGGATCGGCTTCAGTGGCTTAGCTGAAAAAGGAGACCTCGTCAGCCTTTTCTTTTGATAAGCAAATGAGAATGCTCTGCCAAAATATTTATTGTTAATTATTGAGCTAAACATAGCTAGAAAACTTGTTTCAACACCGGAGCAGTGACCTTCTTTGACTGTGAGCTCCATCCTGAAGAATGGATCTGCGTTTCAACTCTAAAGACTGAAACAGTAATTCCCCCTAGGACAGACACTTCAGTGCTCACTTCAACATGACATGTAAGGTACTGACCTGCTCACTCTTTATAAAACGTTAACTTTCTAAAGCTGTATAATAAAATCCTTGGTACATACGTAGCTAAGCGACAGTTTTAAATTCTGACCGTTGCAGTTACGTGAATGTTTGGTTTATGAACTTATGAACCTGTCCGAACGTACAATGGAGAGATTGGAAAACTCACTTTACAGGACCCAGAGACACACAACGCAACAGTACAAAAACACAAAATTTCTCCGAGTACGACACCCATCCACTGACGTCCAGAAAATATCCCATATTTTGCACGTACACAGATTAGAGTTAATGTTAAAGGCTAGGGCTCGTGTTTGGGTTACGTGTTTAGTCAGCTGGTTGTCTGTATGCTGTACTCCCTGTGTGGAGACGCCTTTTCTATTCAACTGTTGTATAAAAAAATAAAATACACCGATTAGATCCCACTTACCTTTACATACTATCAGCTAACGTTTTAAAGCGTTGTGCCTTTCCTGTATTAAACGGTCCACCATTAGCTGCTACATGAAAAAAATATTACATGATCTCTTCATTGCCCATACACGGGAATCCATTTTCCAACAGAGTAACAGTAACACAAACATACCAACTTCCGGCGAGCACAAATTTGAATCCTCCCTCCAAAAAGATTCTGAATAACAACTTCCGCCAGGCTCCGCGCGAAGAGTTATGGGACAGGCTGAACAGACGGCGTGTAGCGGATGCACTGTGATCACTAACCTCTGATTGAGCGGTTTTCAGCAGTAAAGTTACGGAAAAATAAACACCGGAATCAGTGGTGTGGTGCAGACAAACTGCCCTTTCATATTTATTTAAAAAATGTATTACCAATACGAATATTTGTGAATAGAAGAGGATTTTTTTTCCTCCCTGAAATTGCTCAACTAACTGCTTAAACCCTGCCTTTGTTGACATTCGCAAAGTGGAGGAGAATTTGGTTTAATTCTTCAGGCACATGTTCCTGTGACAATAAGGATAGCATTAATCACCACATTGCAGCTTGATCGTCACATCTCAGAGGCTAAACAGAATTGGGCTCTGGGTAGTGCCGGGTTGGGAGACCACGTTTGTGCTGCAAGGTGGTGTGGGAACCATTATTATTACGG